TGTCTGAAATTAAAACAGTATCCCTGCTTTTTTTTTTGTTCTTTGTTTGCTTTGTAGGTTTTTTTTTTTGTTTTTTTTTTTTTTAAATTTATTTATTATTATTATACTTTAAGTTGTAGGGTACATGTGCATAACCTAATAAATTGGCAAAGTAAAGAGATGAATGTTCTCTTTTGTTTTCTTGATGCTGAATGTGTTTAAAAACATGTTTAGGATAATTAGCGTGCCCTAAAATTCATGTATTTAAAGTGATTTTATAAATTTATTGGGTGGTGCAACCATCACTACAATCTAATTTTAGAACACTTGCATCACGTCAGTGACATCTTCCTTGACCATTTGCAGTCAGTCTTCATTACCACTCCCAGCATCAGACAACCAGTAATCTACATTCTGTGCCTATGGATTTGCCTATCCTGAAAATTTCATCTAAATAATGTCTCCAAAGTTTATTAATGTTGTGGCATATATAAATACTTCATTCCTTTTTATAGCTGAGTGATATTCCATTGCATCAGTATACTACATTTTGTCTATCTAGTCATCAGTTGATGGACACTTGGATTGTTTCTATCTTTTGCCTATTGTGAATAAAGCTGCTATAAACATTTGTGTACAAGTTTTTGGGTGGACGTTCATTTTCAATTCTCTTGGTTAAACACCTATGAGTGGAATTACTTGGTCATATTATAACTGTATGTTTAATTTTCTGCCAAACTGTTTTCCCAAGGGGCTGTACTATTTTACAGTTGTTAGATTTATATGAACTACTAGCAATGTATTTCTTCACATCATCACCACTTTTGTTATTTCCCCGTTTTTTTTTTTTTCAAATGTGTAGCTATTCTTGTGGGTGTGGAGTAGTATCTCATTGTGATTTAGATTTGCATATCCCTAATGGCTAATTGAGCATCTTTTTATTTGATTGTTAGATTTTTTTTTTTTTTTTTTTTTTTTTTTTTTTTTTTTTTTTTTTTTTGAGACGGAGTCTCGCTCTGTAGCCCAGGCTGGAGTGCAGTGGCGGGATCTCAGCTCACTGCAAGCTCCGCCTCCCGGGTTCACGCCATTCTCCTGCCTCAGCCTCCGAGTAGCTGGGACTACAGGCGCTGTCACCTCGCCCGGCTAGTTTTTTGTATTTCTTAGTAGAGACAGGGTTTCACCGTGTTAGCCAGGATGGTCTCGATCTCCTGACCTCGTGATCCGCCCGTCTCGGCCTCCCAAAGTGCTGGGATTACAGGCTTGAGCCACCGCGCCCGGCCTTTGATTGTTAGATATTTGTATATGTTCTTTGGAGAAATGTCTCCTCACATATATTGCCCATTTCTGATTAGGTTGTTTCCTTACTATTGAGATGTAAGAGTTGCTTATATACAAGTCCTTTATCAGATATGTAGTTTGAAAATATTTTCTCCAAGTGTATGGTTTGTCTTTTCATTTTCTTACTATCGTATGTTGAAGAACAAAGGTTTTTACTTATTTTACTTTTATTTTAGTTTCAGAGGTACAGGGCCAGTTGGTTCTATAGATAAATTGTGTGTCACAGGGGTGTGGCGTACATATTATTTCATCACACAGGCAATAAGCATAGTACCCAATAGGTAGTTTTTTGATCCTCACCCTCCTCCTAACCTCCATCCTCAAGTAGACCCCAGTGTCTGTTGTCCCCTTGTTTGTGTCCATGTGTACTCAACATTAGCTCCCATTTATAAATGAGAACATGTAGTGTTTGGTTTTCTGTTCCTGTGTTACTTTGCTTAGAATAATGGCCTCCAACTCCATCTATGTTGCTGCCAAAGACATGATCTCATTCTTTTTATGGCTGCATAGTATTCCATGGTGTATATGTACCAAATTTTCTTTATCCCATATACCATTGATGGGCATTTAGGTTGACTCCATGTTGTTGCTGTTGTCAGTAGTGCTGTGAAGAACATATGCATGCATGTGTCTTTATGGCAGAATGATTTATATTTCTTTGGGTATATACCCAATAATGGATGGCTGGGTCAAATGGTAGTTGTGTCTTAAGTTCTTTGAGGAATTGTCAAACTGCTTCCCACAGTGGCTGAACTAACTGACATTCCCAGCAGCAGTGTATAAGTGTTCCCTTTTCTTTGCAACATTCAACATCTGTTATTTTTGACTTTTTAATAATAGTCATCCTGACTGGTGTAAGATGGTATTTCATTGTGGTTTTCATTGATTAGTGATGTTGAGCATTTTTACATATGCTTATTGACCACATGTATGTCTTCTTTTGAAAAGTGTCTATTCGTATCCTTTGCCCACTTTTTAATGAGGTTGTTTGGTTTTTGCTTGTTAATTTAAGTGCCTTATAGAGTCTAGATATTAGCACTTTGTCAGATGCCTAGTTTGCAAATATTTTCTCCCATTCTATGTGTTGTCTATTTACTCTATTGATAGTTTCTTTTGCTGTACAGAAGTCCTTCAGTTTAACTAGGTGCTATTTATCAATTTTTGTTATTGTTGCCGTTGCTTTTGATGTCTTTGTCATGAAATATTTGACAGGGCCCATGTCTAGAATGGTATTGCCTAGGTCTTCTTCAAGGATTTTTATGGTTTTAGTTGTTACATTTAAGTCTAATCCATTTTGGGTTGATTTTTGTATATGGTGTAAAGAAGGGGTCTGGTTTCTATCTTCTACACACAGCAATCCTAGCACCATTTGTTGAATAGGGAGTATTTACCCTATTACTTGTTTTTGTCAGTGTCAAAGATCAGATGGCTGTAGGCACACAACTTTATTTCTGGGCTCTCCATTTTGTTCCATTGGTCTATATGTCTGTTGTTGTACCAGTACCATGCTCTTTTGGTTACTGTAGCCTTGTATAGTTTGAAGTCAAGTAATGTGATGCTTCCAGGTATGTATTTTTGCTTAAGATTTCTTTGGCTATTTAGGTTCCTTTTTGGTTCCATATGAATTTTAGAATAATATTATTTTAATTATGTGAAGAATGTCATTGGTAGTTTGATAAGAATAGCATTGAATCTATAAAATGCTTTGAGCGGTATGGCTATTTTAACAATATTGATTCTTCCTATCCACGAGCATGGAATTATTTTTCATTTGTTTGTATCATCTCTGATTTCTTTCAGCAGTGTTTTGTAATTCTCATTGCAGATATCTTTCATCTCCCAGGTTAGCTGTATTCTCAGGTAGTTTATTCTTTTTATGGCTATTGTGAATGGGATTGCATTGTTTATTTGGTTCTCAGCTTGGACATTATTGATGTATAGAAATGCTACTGATTTTTGCACATTGATTTTGTAGCCTGAAACTTTGCTGAAGTTGTTGATATGATCTTGGAGATTTTTGTCAGAGACTATGGGGTTTTCTATGCATAAAATCATATTGTCTGCAAACAGAGATAGTTTGACTTCCTTTCT